GGCCCTGGCCTTCAGCCTTGCCAGCCGAGGGCTCCCTTCCCTTTCCCCGGTCACTTTGCTCATGGGGCTTTTGTGTGTGGAGGGGGGAGTGCTGCTGAGAAAAGTGGGGTGCCCCTCTGCTCCCTGGGGGTGCCAAAGGAGGTGAATGGCAAACTGGCCCCCTCCTCGCCCCCCTGAGCTCAAGCCCACAGGACTTCCTGGGGCCCGGCCCCTTCGCGGCACAGTGACGTCGGCCTCGGGCGTCTTTTTTTTCTCTCCCCCCCCCCATGCAGGGCATTCCTGGGCCCGAAGGACCTCTTCCCCTACGAGGAGTGCAAGGCCAAGTTCGGGAAGGCCAACAAGCGGAAAGGCTTCAGCGAAGGCCTCTGGGAGATCGAGAACAACCCGACCGTCAAAGCCTCGGGATACCAGGTGGGGGGGGGCTCGGGCAGGGGGCCGGTCGCCTCCTCTTGGCTGGGGCCACGGAGGGAGGTGTTCCCAGGGCAGGCGAGGGCCGCTGGACCTGGGGGTCCTTGTCCGGGCGCGAGGGCCCCTCCGGCAGCGGTTCCCCTGGGCTGGGGGTGCCTGAGCCCCGGATCTCCCACTCCTGGCCTGCAGGACGCCCTGAGACACGTTTGTGGTTTTCCACCCCCCTCCCCCCACCTCTGATTGCACATGGGGGGGTTGGCAGATCCATTTCCCAGTCCTGGAGGGGGGGGCTCCTTCATCTGCAGGGCGTCCGTGGGCAGGACAAGCCGGGCCCAATGGCCTCAATTCTTAGGGGGGGGGTTGAGGTAGATGAAGCCAAGCCTGCCTGGACCTCTTCCCTGCGGCTGTCCGCCCGCCTGCCCGCCTGCTGGGTGTGGGTCCTCCTCTGGCGTGCCACCCCTTTCCCACTTCTCCCTCCCTGTCCTTGCAGCCCACCCAGAAAAAGGGATCCCCAGGAGGAGACACCAAAGCCGAGCGAGAGGCGGCGAGTAAGAAGAAAGGCAGCCCCGAGGGCGGCAGCAGCGACGACGACGACGAGGGCAACCTGGTGATCGACGAGCAGTCCAAGGAGAAGAACAGCGAGAAGGCCGGGAGCAAGAGGAAAGCAGAGGCTGCCCTGGAGGTGAGGAGGAGGGGCGGGGGCTTCCCCTCCCCAGGGAGCAGCAGGGGGGAGGCTCACAAGCACACGCGCACACACACAACGCCAGCCTCAGTGCTGACCTTCCTGCTTGTTCACTGGAATGAGAACAGTTGGGGAAACAAGGACCGAGGCTGGTGTGTGTCTCTGTGTGCGCATGCACACGAGTTGAGGGGAGGCAGGTCCTCCCTCGGCTGGTGCCAGCTGAGAAGAGGCTATGATGGTTTCTCTTTCTCCGCAAGAAAGCGAAGAGGGCTCAGAGTCTGGAAAAGAATCCCACGTGTTTCCACAGGGTGGCTTGAGCCCATGTCCAGAACTGGGAAGCGGAGAAGCCTGGGGGCCGGTGGGGCTGGATCCTGGCCACATTAAACCTTGCCTGCCTCTTGAAAACCTGCCCGTCTGCCCTTTGGTGCTTCCTGGGGAGGGTGTGCACACACACTCGCTTCGCAGAGAGAAAAACAGAGAGACATTTTGCCCAAATGCCCCGAGCCCTGCGGAGAGAAGGGCCCCGGGTCCCGTGCTCTTGAGGCAGGGCGGGAGCGCGCCCTGGAGAGAGCCGGAGGATCCTGGACTGGCGGCCTATCCTCCCAGGGAGCCCTTCCCCCCCCCCCATCCTGGGTGCATCTCTCTCCCTTCTCTTGCCCAGGACTCCTCTCCCAAGCGCATCAAGGAATCCTCAGAGCCACAGGAGGATGCTGGGGAGAAGCTGGGGGGCGAAGATGCCCCCAAAGAGGTGGGGGAGAAGCAGAAAGTCAGCCTCCCTGAGGGAGGGGAGAAGGAGAAGCACAGCGCCAGCGGTGACGCTTCCGACGTGGCAGGCGGAGAGGACGAGGAGGAGAAGGAGAAGGTCACCACCGAGGAGGAAGAGGAGGAGGAGGAGGAGGAGGAGGAGGACGAGGAAGAGAGCCGAGACCACAAGGAGAGGTAGGGACGCAGCCAGGCCCGTCCCGGCGGGAGAGCAGGCTGGTTCTGCCGGGGGTTCAGGTGGAAGCGGGAGGGGGGGGGTTGGGCTCCCAGGCAGAACCAGCGTGACTGGGCCCCGGAGGAGAGGGCCCAGCCCTGTCCAGCTGGGGGTCCTCTTGGGTTTCTTTGCTGCCCTGGAGATGCTGCCGGGCTCGGAGGTGACTGCCGCTCCCCCCCCCCACGTCGAAGGCCTTGAGGAACACAAGGCGGCCCAGTCTGCCGGGGGTGTGTGTGTGTGTCTCTTTGTTCACGCCTGTCTGTCTCCTCTGCTCTCCCAGCCTGTAACTGGCCGGCCCATCGGACCCCCTCCTGACCTGTCGGTTTCCCGGGTGCTAAGAACCAAACGGCGTCGTCGTCTTCGGGTTGCCATCTCTGCCCCTTGGCGTGAAGGAGAGGGAAGGGAGTGGAGAGCCACGTTTCGACAGAAGCAAAAAGGAAATTGTCCCGCCTGGCCAACCCGGCGCATCTCTCCCGGCCAGCCGTTTTGCCAGTTCTTACGCTTTGAGTTAGCCATTTCTAGGGGTTGGGAATGCTTGCCAGCCACTTTGAAATAAAAGCAGTTGAATGCCTTTTTAAAAAAATACACAGTTGGAACAGTTTCTTTCTGTCGCTATCCCTGCAGTTCTGAAAAAAACAAAACGTCTCCTGACCTTTGGAAAGGCTGGTCCCTGGAAGGCTTTGAAAATGCCCTGCCCTTTTGGTCCTTTGGGCAGAACCTTCCTGCTGCTCGAGCCCCCCCCCCCATGTGTGCCTTTGCTTTCCCCGTGGGGGAGGGACGGAGGGAGGGCCCAGCTCCCGCAGGCATCCCTCTCTAGCCTGCCAGTTGGGCTTGTTTGTCAGAAACACTGGCGGCAGGCAGGGTCTTCCTCCTCCTCTTCCTCCTGAGTCAGGCATGCCGCCCTCCGCCTCACCCATGACCCGTGAGGCTGACGGGAAGCAAGCCCCCCCCCCAGGCCTGGTGAGGTTCCCCCTGGGCTCTCCGGTGTGGACGAGAAGCCCCTCGGCCGCCGTCCCTGGGCTCCCCAGGCCCTGCCCTGCTTCTCTTCCCAGACGGGATGACGTTGGCATGTTCAGGGTGGGAGCCTGGTGGGTTACGTGGGCACCGAAAGGTTCGGGAAGGCTTCCTGGCTGCTCTTTGAGCAAGCTGGGTAACCGACCAGACCAGATGGAGGCGATGTGGCCCTGGTCCTGCCGGGAAGGTGGCCGGTCTCATTCTGGCCAGATGTGCTTGTTTGAAATCCTGGCTCCCTGGTCTAGTCTTGGGTCCAGGGGTGGGTCAGGGTTAGGGGGATTCCAGCTGCAGGCAACCAACAACCCCCCCCCCCGAATCTCTGGGCTGGGGCCATCTGATTCTTGGGTGGGGGGCTCTCTTGCAAGGAGCAGGCAATAGCCAGGCCGCACATGCAGACGGACCCACAGGCAGTTTGGAGAGAGGAGGAAGCCCTTTGGGGCCACCATGTTTTTTTCTTCTTTTGTGTTTGATTTCTATACCGTCCCATCGGGCCACCCAGGCCACTCTGGGTGGGGAGCACAGCCTTTCCAGGGGGCCGCCCTGCCTGGGAGCTGCCACCAGGGGGCCCTGTGGAGCCTCTTTGGGGCCCCACCAGCCAACCAGGCCCCTTCTGCTCTCTTACCCCAGGGGAGGGGGGCTCAGGAGATGAGTGCCTCCAGTGCGCCCCCCCTCCTCCAGTTCTGCCGGCCCTCCCTGGCCTTGCGCTTCGGGGCTCCGTCCGCTAGAGGGAGCCCTTGCCTAAGCTGTGAGCCATGGATGGTCCCAAGGCTGGACCCGGGCGTGCACTGCCTTCCCTAGCATCTCCTGGGGGAGGGACCACAGGGGTGGGGGGGCTGTTTCCATCTCTCGTGCTTCCCTTCTGCACAGGGGCAGGGGAACCATCCTGCCGTTTCCGTTGGAGTGGGTGGCTAAGGGGAAAAACGGGCTAGCTTTGTAGTGGCCCCCCCTCCCATGGGTTCATTTCACCTGATGGCGCGTTTGTGGGGGGGGGAATGATTTCCCTCCAGGTCTTCCTCAGGCCTTAACAGGCAGGGGCCTCTGATGCCGCACAGTTCAAGGACATGCCACACAGAGAGGGCACAGTTCAAGGACAGGACTCCTGCCCCAAGGTGGACCCTGGTGGGGGGACTTGGGGGGGTTGGAGAAGCCCCTGGTAGCCCTGGTGCTGCAGCCGAGCACCCCCTTTAGCACTGAAAGCCCCTCCTCTCAGAACACCTGTTGCTACAGAAAGCGAGCGGCAGCGGGTGAGGATCCCGCTGCAGCCACCGTGGGCGCCGAAGCCCCCCCGGGGCCACCTTGGCCCTGGACTGGCCCCGCTCTCCTGACAGGCTTAGCAGCCCTGACGAACATCCCCTTGGAGAGGCGGCTGCAGGTCTTTGGTTGCTGGGAGAGAGGCCCCTCCTGCCCTCCTGGTGGGCTTCCTGCCAAGAGGCCATGGGGGTGGGGGCGGGGACAACCAGGACGCTAGGCTTGGGGGGGGGCTCCTTGGGTTGGATCCTCTAGCTGCACAGTCGTCTCCCCCACTTCCTCTTCTCTCAGGCATCCACATCCACCCCTCAAACTCTGTTCATAAAACTTTAGATGCTCAGCAACAGCCACCACCCCTGCCCACATTTTTCAGTTTCAATCTGGACTAGTTAGTAGACCCCCCATCCCCCCCCCGGTGGAAAGATTCACACCCCATGATTTCACCCTCCACCCACTGTGGGCCAGAAGATAATGGCAACTGTGAAGAATGAAAACGCCACTGCTACTGATTTGGACATGCACCCTTCTTTTCCAACATTAAAATCAAACAAAGACGCCTTGGTTCCACCTGAGGCCCCTCCCTCGGAGGGCAGCCAGAGAGGAGGGGCCGCGCATTGCCAGGGCCGCCCCGTCCAAGACGGGCTGAAAGAAGAAGAGCCCCAGGAAGATGGGGGGGCCTGCCTTTGCCCATCCATAGGTGGCTACCTGTGGACGCGGCCGCAGGCAGGCAGGCAGGCAGACGGCCACCCGCTCACTGCCTTGGCTACCTGTGGCGGTCTGTGTGCGAGGAGACCGCTGGCAAAGCTGCGCACAGGAGGGAAATGGTGTCTTGTGTGGCGCCTGGCCAGCAAAATGGGCACAGGTATTTTTAGGCGTAGGCCATGTGTCCCCTTTGCCGTGCTTTTTGGCTGTGCAGGTCTCCCCAGGGCATTCCCGGCTGGGAAGAGAGGGCCCCTCGCGTGTTCAATCACGGACAGAAGCAGGAGGACGTCTCTCCCATCCTGGGGGCAGAGCGGCACTGGCACCCGCCTAGCTGCTCTCCCAAGCGGGGAGCTCTCCTTGTGTCCGAGCTTTCCAGGAAAAGCTGCTGCCTTCTTCCCAGAGAGAGAGAGAGAGAAAGAGAGAGAGAGAGGAGGGTGAGGATTAAGCCCAGCCTCTCTCTCCCTCTCCCTCTCCCTCAAGAGCCTCCCCCTCTGTATGAATAGCAGAGCCGAGCTGTCTGGAGCCTTATTCCTTCAAGGGCCAGGGGCACCCGCGTCTCCCTCCATCACAGCTGCTGCTGCTGCTGCTGCTCCTCTTTGGACTCTCTTTTCCAAAGGGGGGGGGGGAACCGGCGTTCTTGGACCATGGAGAGTCTCTTAGGGTCACGCTCCTTAGGAGAGGAATCCCTCCAGATGTGGGACCTCAACAAACGCCTGGAAGCCTACCTGGCCCGAGTGAAGTACCTAGAAGAGGAAAACGAGCTTCTGAAAGCAGAGATCCAGAGCCTGAGGGTGAGTCCCCAGGAGAGCTCCTGGCGGGGCAAGTATGAGGAAGAGGTGGCCGCCCTGAGAGCCACCCTGGACCAGGCCTTCAGGGAGAAGCACACGGCCGAGCTGGCCCGGGACAGCTTGCACGAGGAGGTCCAGCAGGCAAAGAGCCGGTGCCAGAAGGAACGGAGCGCCCAGGAAGAGGCCAAGAAGCTCCTCTCCATGAGCAAGAAGGAGCTGGAGGAGGAGAAGCGGGCTCAGCTGTGGCTGAGGGAAAAGGCCGTCCAGCTGGAGAAAGAGGTCGAAGCCCTGGCCCAAGCCCACCAGGAGGAGATGGCTGCCCTCGACCGAGAGACGACCGGGCTCTCCTGGAGCCTGGACAGCTTCCGGGCCCCCCCGCCAGCCGTGGGCTTCCAGCCGGTGGAGGTGGAGGACTACGCCAAGCGGCTCTCCGGCATCTGGAAAGGGGCGGTGGAGACCTACAAAACAGAGGTCTCCCAGCTGGAAGCCTCTCTCTGCGAGGCGAAGGAGAATCTCTGGAGAGCCACCGAAGGCAACCGGCAGAACCAGCTGCAGCTGCAGCAGTTGGAGAAAGAGCTGGTCAGCCTCAAGAGGCAGAAGGAGATGCTGGAAGAGAGCCTGGCTCAACAGTGGCAGCATCAGCACGGGGAGGCGGAGAAGCTGCAGGTGGGTTTGGGCACACGTGGGGTGGGGTGGGGAGCCACAGGCGGAGATGGGGAGCAGGAGGGAGGAGGCGAGGACGCCGACCCTTCCCACGCAGGGGAGAAACGGACGTGGTGCCTACGGCACATTCTTAGAAGAGGAAGAGCCTCGTGGGCCGAGCCGTCGATCCTCTCCTTTTCCTAGAGCTTGGAAAGGTGTTTGCTTTGTCTCCGTCTTGAAGAGTTAGTTTCAGCTCTCATCTGATAGGGCTGCCTGTCATGCCGGTTTCTCTTCTAGGACAGGCCTTGCAATTTCCGAGATGTTCCTCACCCTTTCCTTCCTTGTCCTCAGGAACGTGGTGCTCCATCGATACATGGTGCTCTGTCTGTGGCGGGCGGCCCCTCCTGCCGCCACTTCAGCCTGGGTGCATTTTGGCACAGTTGCCGAGAGCGTGGGTGGTCCCCACGTGGAGGGGAAACCTGGGTTGTGGGTGGCATCCTTTTGGCTCATGGGCGAAAGAAGGCACCTGTCCAGCTTCTGTGCTGACCACGAGGGTAAGGCTTAGAGAGGGGCTGCTCACCCAGGGAGAGGAGGGCTCCTCTCCTCCATCCCACTTTGTGCAACCTCTTTAGGGCAGCTTTAGAAGAGGGAAGCCATGTCCGTCTGCACAAGCATCTCAGGCAAAATCCAAAGCGGGGAGAGAAAGGAACAAGACGAGACACAGACCACAAAGCACCTTATAGGCTGTCGTATTTCCATAGGAGCTTCCGTGGGTGAAGTCCACTTCTTCGGGGACATATGGAATGAAACCAAATAGAGCACGCCTAAGGAAAGCACCCACAGGCTTTAAGAGTCTCGGGGGTGTGTGTGTGGTCACATCCCACGAGCGGTCACGGACCACCTAGGCTTGCTGCTGAGTTCTAAGGTAAACCTGCAGGTCTCTAGGGCAAGGGCCCCTTGAGCGCAGACGCTATAGGGCGGCCGAGACACTTCCCGGTGCCATCAGGGCCTGAAGCAGTCAGGCCACCCTCTCAGAGGAACGCTCTCGATCCAGGGTGACCAAAGCGCAGACGTTCAGGTGGGTGACGGCAAGTGGTTGGGTTGCCGCCAAAGCAGGGAGGAGTCTTCGGGCATTGGCCGGAAGACAGCCGAGCCGCTTTTGGCAGGAGCCTCTGGGGGCCGAGGAAGCCCCTCTGCCGAGGCCTTCAGCCGAAGGGTTCAGAGGAGGCCCCCCCTCTTGACGTTTCCTGACATGGACCCAGCCATCTGTCAAAGACATGGCCAGCCATGGTTCTTGCAACCAGCCCTCGTAAGAGGCACCCCCGCTCTTAGACAGGGTCTTCCCGCTTCCCCTGGAAGATGGAGGGCACCCCAGCCCCACCTGACAGCAGCACAACAAACCCCCTGGGTGCACGTCGGCCTCTGGAAAGCCCACCCGACTGGCTCGCCTTTCCCACGCTTCTGCTGCTGCCCCTCACGGGGTGGGGGACCGGCCAGCTAGCTGGAGAAGGGGGGCCACAGTGCTGGAAAGGCATCAAGTGAACCGGGGGGGGGGTGCCAAAGAAAGCATCAGTGCAGGGAGGGGAAGGCCACGGGGCCAACTGTGCAACCTCCGAAAGGCGACGGGTTCTGCTCTTTCCTTTAAGGGATCACCAAGAAGCTCAGAGCACAAAACAAGAGGTAAGCTTAGAAGGAATGGGTTCTGAGACGTGGTGGGGATGTTCTTGTTTCTTCTGGAGGGGGGCAGAAATTGAATGGAATTCACACTTAGATCCACCACAAATTATACTAAGTTTTCTTCATTTGGGCAGTGTGTTTAATATCACCATCCCCACCATCCCCACCACCACCACCACGAGTCCGTTGTTCAAGTACTGCTCTTGATAAACCACCAAGACTTATACAGCCTGGCCTTAAAACAA